CGAGGGAATTTTCCCTCGCTGATACCCAGCATTTTTGTAGTGGTAGTTGTAGACCATATACGTTCTTGCTCAACCAATGCATCAGGTCTTTGAGTCTAGCAAAATCTTGATGGTACATTTGGTTTGTTGGTGTTTAGTTTGCTAATGATCAATCGTCCCAGTTGAAGCATAAAAGGAATATGCTTTTCATTCCAGAAATTTTGCTCTCTACTATTCAACTCATTACAGCAAAAGGTGTTTTTAGGATGCAGATGCGTTCTAATAGAGAACTTAAGGTTATACTTTATCTGCAGCTCCAAGAAACTGAGAAGAACAAGCAGACATGAGCATTCAGTCTCTGAACTTTTTTCATCATGGTTGCTATTCAAATTACATGAAATAGTTACCCACAATATGTGGCTTGCAAGTTCATTTTATATGTTCAAGCTGTTTATTCAGTCCGGTAACCGAACAACAGTTTATGTTATGTCATACATACAACTTTATCAATACAAACATCTTTATCCATACAAGTCTTAACGAAAAATAAACCGAACAACTCCTAAGCCTCTTGGGTAAGCCTACCTTCTTACACATAATGCATACATTTCATGAAGGATGACTGAAACCACCGTCCCGTTTTCTTAATTTTTTAAAATTTACAAACAAGTCCTTCTAGTTTAGTTTACATTTGAAGTTTTACTCTTTAACCTTGTTTCTTTCATTTAAATACCCATGTGTCAGATCTTAAAAATTCAATGCATAAAATAGCAAGTTAGCCATGATACTTTTATGTGTTCATGAAAAAAACTAACTTACTATATTATATTTATCATACGCAATTTAGAAATAGTATTGATGGAAAAGCCTATAATTGTTTTCAGATATTTTGAAAAAGAAAACATTATATAATAATAATAATAATAATAATAATAATAATAATAATAATAATAATAATAATAATAATAATAATAATAAGCCGTAACTAGTACCTTTGATGAAAATGGTATTCGGTTTTTCTTCGAGAGGAAATACATCACCGCCTCAAAATACTTCTGGTTTAGAAAATAGTTTTGAAAAACTAACGAAAACAGCAACAATATTTATGGTTGTTAGTTAGAACAAAGTACAACCGTCGGATCCCCCTTAACATAAATTCCTAGCTCCGTCCCTGTGTATAGTAGAGCTAGATCAACGTTTATCTTCTATTTCGACGTGTTCATCGATTTGTATATAGAATTCAAAAGTAAAACTTTAACAAGTTTTACGTATGCGATAAGTTGTAAACTTGAACTTATGTATTAATAAGCCGTAACTGGTACTTAGAAAATTGTTTTTAAAAGTTTTTAACAAATACGAAATAGCATGGTAAAGATTATCTAGCTTACAATGTTTAACTGTCTTCTTGTAATCAGATAGGTCCATAGCTATTATGTTAATAAACTTGTTTTAAATATGGTAAAAATAAGAACATGTTACAAATACTAAAAAACACTTTCGACAATTTACGACAATGAGTGAAA